TGTGTAAAAACACACTTATCAAAGATAGTCGATGGGAGAACTCCCAACGGATTTGGTTTTCTTATTTAGTGTGGGATTGGAATGGTGTCGAGGGGTGGAGGGCCAAAAAATAAGTATTTGGGAGTTTGGACATGTTTGAATTAGGAAGGTAGGTAATTAGAAACCTCGTAGAATTTGTCTCTTAAAAAAGAGTAATGCAATTTGTCATCATATGATGGATTATCTAATTTAGATGGCATTGAATGATGGGCCCAATAAGTCAACATTTATTTGAACAAATAATTTAATCGCTCAATACTACCAAAAATCATACCTGATTTTCTGGTCTTGAACTAGGAATGCACGAGAGATGAGATTGATCATAACTTTCGAATTGCCTAGAAAAAGGCTAAAGGAATTGTTCTTGTGGCCCTTTGATGCTTAAGTTGGAAAATAGATGGAGTGAATAAAAGCACAGGGCTATGAACTGTATAATGAAAAACTTGAATAATGAACAAGTGTTGGGTATATATAGAACTTGGCAAGGTATAATCCCACAAAAATTAGAATATTAGCATAATACTATGTTGACCAGATGGGATTGGAGTCCTAAAGATCTTAGGACTTCGACTGTGGTTAAGACACGAGAAATGTAATATAGTAGGACTCTGTAAAGAGAGATAAGGTAGGACTTATATCTTGATGACATTTGTCCCCAAGTCTACACTAAGGTCAACGTGCCCGATGCTACTCAAAGGTAAATAATAGAATGGCGTGGGTCCAAAGCCTTATGATCTCGGCTGGATGAGTTTTCTAGAAGACACGGGTTACTGTTAGCTTGGATGCGTGTTCCTGAATGGTCGGTACCCATCTATCCTAGGTTGGGCTTGGGAGTTAAGTAACCTCATTAGTGGATCCCAAACTCTTGAGCTCAAGGTGGCGTTAAGTGCACCAAAGAGTGGTCTTCAGGTACGTTTGCTTCACAAGCGTGTACAATGGTTTGAAAATCCTAAAGTGAAGTTACGGATTACCAAATTAACGGTTACCAAGTTACCGGATGGTTATTAATTATCCATTTTTAATTTTGTCCTTGTGTGCGGAATTATTCTATTAAAAGCAATAAGTCACTTTTTAATAGTTTCTAGATGGTTAACCATACAGTCCAATTATCCTATGTTTGAACACCACAGTTAGTAATATGGAAAGCAATAAAGAACACCAATAATTGATGAAGGAGAAACCCAACTGGATAAAAACTACGGGACCAAGCTAATTACCTCCACTATAGACAATATAGATTACAGCATGTTTCCAGCCTAGCAAATTCCACTAGTTCCCGCTGTTATAATTTCTGTAATCTCCAAGATCTGCTGTTCCTCCAGATTCACGATCTGCTACCATAGATACTATCTAGCCAACCTGCTAGATCTTCCAATCTACCTCCTGTAGCTTCCAAGATCTGCTGCAACTTCCAGACTCACAATCTTCTGTAATTGTCTTTTCCAAGTGGATACTCAGGAATCACCTCGTCTTGTTCTTTTTCCTATGGTTGTAGTCCAACCTCTCTCAACCTCCGACACTTCTGAAGTCCAACTGAGAAAGTATCTTCCTCGAAGTGTTAAGGAAGTCAAGTGTTTTGGATTCTTCAATTTGATTTTTTCCAAAACTTGGTTGCCAGATCTCAAGAATGATGTGGATGAATCAAACAATGAATTGTGTTCTTGGATTTCTCTAATGATGTGAAAGTGTTTTTCAATTGAAGCACAATGAAGCACCCCCAGAATTCATCCCAAATATCTGTATTTATAGTTGGGGACGCTTGGGTGTTATGGGCCGTGTAAAACTTTTCAAAATCGTAAATTAGGTCTGGACGCATAAACATGTTGCTTGAGCGAGGGAGTCTTTCGCTCGAACGAGGGTGCTGTCGCTCGAGGCGAAAGGCAGGAGATAATGTTTATGTTTCCAACAGTTTTCTGATGCTCGAGCCAAACCTTAGCGACAGTCTAGCGAAATTTNGCCGTGTAAAACTCTTCAAAATTGCGAATTAGGTCTGGCCGCATAAATATATCGCTTGAGCGAGGGAGTTTGTCGCTCGAGCGACAACGAGGCGAAAGACGAGCGACACAGTTTCTGTTTCTGACGCTCGAGCCAAGTCTAGGCGATAGTTTAGCGAAATTTTGGCACCGCGTGTTCGTTGTTTTCAACATCTAACCCTAACTTAACTCATCTATACAAAATTGGATCCAAGTCCTTGACTTTTTACAAGTGTTCAATTAAGACTCTTTTCTTCACAAACATACCAATTACAACATGGACCTAACATAAAGGACATACATTGTTCTTTGAGAAAGTGTGAGGCATAACGTCGCAATGGTGTCAATGTATGCCACCATGTCATAATTACCCCTATAACTACTTGTCTTTCATTTTTCACATTTTATTTTTACCTTTACCAACCCTTGAGAAACAAAGAGCTTGAGTACCTCGATCTAGATATAAGGCTTTTGCCCTATCTTATTTATT